TTATGCAAGTACAGATGAGTATTTCTGTGTAAGCATGGTATTTTGCACTATTGCATTCCATCCGTTTTAGATGACTTCTCTAAATATATCAAGATCATTTAATATTCTGATCTTTTAGCATCTATAACATCTGCAGTCCTTCCTTGCTCCATCTACAAGTTTAATAATCATACTTCATATTCCATCTTCTATGCCTTCAATGAAAACATAAAACAAAACTTGATATGGGACCAAGGCCCACAGAATTCCTTGCAAAACACATGTATTTTGATAGGTTACAATGGAATTACCCCATGGATACAATTATCTAACCAGACTTGACATCCTGCCCCTTCTCACAGCAATTTCATTTAGATCACAGTTCACTAGCCTGTTCATGAGGATATTATAGGAAGTACTGCTAAAGGCCTCACAAAAAATTAAATAAAATAAATAAATTCAAGCTGTATGACATCTGTGGCCATTACTTCACCCTCCCTTTAAGACTCCTAGAGTGAAGTCGATCAGGCTCAGGCAACTGTAAAACATCTAACTTAACTGGTTACTCTCTAAGCAGGTTGGACATATTTTAGGCTGAAATTTTACCCCTTTTTCCTGGTAATAATTGCACTGTCTGCTTGCTGTTGACCTTTTTAGTAAAGATTGATGAAAAAGGGAGAAAAAAAGGACATTAAACTCTTCGGCTTCCTTAATGTCCTCTACTGATTGCACACCCCCCCACCTTTGAGTAGTGATCAAAACTTCCCTTTGTTTTTCTCTTACAACCTTGCCTGTAAAATCTCTTTTACTTTTGGTAAGTTTTGCTAGTTGCATCTTGTGCATTTTGTCTTTACTAACTGTGTACACCCCTTCAGCCCTGCCATGAATGGAGTATTGTGCTGGGTTCTCAACCAGCTGACCTAGTTTCTACTTTACAGGTCTCTCCCTCTCATACACTTGCGGTCAATTAAAGTTTGTGAATTAGCTGACTTCTGCTGAATTTCCTGACTTTCCTCTAAACTGGCATAGGTTGCACTTGGTTTCTTAACAGCATTTCTCGAAGGAACTGACAGCTCTCCATAACTTGTTTTTCCCCTAGATTTGCCTCTTTTGAGATCTTCCCTGCCCATTCTCTGAGTTTATTGACATCTGCCTTCTTGAAATCTAGTGCTGTCAGTCACTCAGTTGGATCAAGTGGCAGGAGTTGACACTATGTTCGCTGCAGTACTGGTGTCTTGTAAAATATCGTATCTGGGAGTAGACTTTGAGTCATATGTTACACTGCCCTCTACCTACATGTAAAACTGCCGCTCAGCTTAGGAAGGTAGTGACGATTACAGTATGTATTAGCCCTTAAGATTTAGGATGCTGTTCAGAATTTAGCATGAAGAATAGGAAGAAAAATGTAACTCCAGAGAAACCTTCTGTAAGGCATTAATGACTGCCCTTATAACGGATCTCATTCAACGTGGACAGAGGGTCTGTGCTGATGAAACGTTTAGAACACAAATTCTTTGTGATAATAAATAATGCAGACCAAGGTGCGCAATGATCATGGCTCTAATTTGTTTACTAAAAACTTAGAAAGTTATGCAGCTCTTTCATGGTGCAATGGGCAGACAGTGAGACCGTAATGGGGGAGAGGAAGAAAAAAAGCAACAAGCTTCACCTTAAGCAAAAAAGGCTGACCAGACCAGACTGGACCTATGCCTTCTAAGAACAGTGACCGAAGCTCTTTCTTATTGACATCTAATGCAAAACCAGTAAGACCTCAGGTGCTACTAAAATCCTCTAATATTCTTTAATGCTGTAGGTACCTCATGGACCCTCTCATAGGTCAACTAGAGATGGTCAAGAAGTCAGACCAAGCCTGGTCCTTATATCAGAAAGCCTTCCTGCTACATTATTATTTTTACTGACAATATTACAATGCAAATTTCTTTACTATCACTTCAAGTCAATTTGGATTCCCTAAACAATGAAAATTAATTACCAGTAACCAGTCCCAGCTATGGTCAATTTTCAAGACAGGTGTAAACTAATAAAAATGTGGGCATCACACTGGCAATGTGGTGTTGGAAGACAAGCAAGCCTTGCCTGTAATCAGAGTAGCGGTGATGGTTTAGAGAAATGCAGGTTGTTGAATCACTCCAAGTTACACGCAGCAGGGAACGAATGTGCAGTGTCAATACGCTATCTAGTGGCTGCATCGATTATGACATTATTCCTTAATTGCTGTTCTGCTTGTGAATTGTGGCATTAAAAAATACTTTAGACAAAATGAGGATTTGTAAGTCTGTAACCATTCCTTAATGAATCTAAGAAAGACATTTTGAGGTTACAGGTGATTAATAAAGAAAACCAAGGCAGTAAAGTCTGCACGAATATGCAGACAAAACTGTTGCTGGGAAGTTCTAGGCAGTTATTCTTGTCATGAACAGCATTCCGACAGGCACTGGACATGTAGTTAAGATTTTTCTCCTTCATATAGAGACTATGTTCTAGATCGACTAATATAAAACAGCTCAGTTTAGGAGTGCTTCAGGAACAAGTTTAACTATTTTCTTTAGCTGCTAGATTATGCAATATTTTGTGAGGTAAAGGCAGATAATCTAGCTATTTTAAACTGGGTGCATAGTACACAATAATGCAAGGCCAGATGTGTTCTCCTCTAGTGGGGAACACTAGTCCCCATCCCTGGAGATCATAGACTAGGAAGAGGTGAAGATCACACACAACAACATTCTCACAGATTTCTCTTTCTGCCAGGGATGTGATTGACCTTCAGTAAATCATACACCTCTTCTGCTTTGTTGTTTGTATTATCTGTGAAATTGAGATAGTACTGTTCTACGGAAGCTAAAACAGCTTTATATTTGATGAGTACTTCTGTCTTAAAGGCCGTATTTTCTATATGATATATATGAAATAGAAAATACTGTAGGTATATATGACTTGTACCAGTATATTTAGGGTACCGCGAGCTACAACTAGCACACAAATTAGTTATATTTAAAAAAAAAAAAAGTCTGAGTCACCATCACTTTCAGCCATTTTGCACTTTTCTACTTAATAACTGAGAAAGCTCCCTAGGCAGCTGCTAACCCATTTATCTTTAAGTGCACTTAATTAAGTATGTGTATTTGTTTTAGGAGGCTGAGTAAAGACATGATGATGCAGGTTTCAGCTTGGGTAGCATTTCTTGAACTGTTCTTTCTAGGAAAGCAGAAATTTTGTTTTGATCCTTCTTCATGAATCATGAAATGAAAGGTGCCAATTCTGTTCTCCATTTTTGATAAATTATTTTTATATTTATACATACTTCTGAATCCTTAAAAACAAGTTTAAAATAGTTGGTAAACAATGTTCACATTACCTCAGTTTATCATAATTATTTCTGATATAAAGCTTCTATGGTACGTCTTTTGCCACATACAAGGACAGTTACTAAATATGTATGTAAATACAACGTATGTATATAAATGTGCCCCACAGGTGGTTGCTGGACTAAGTTTACAGACTGCACTTGATAAGAAAACCATGATTTTTAAGAGCAGTGCATAAAAGTCAGTTCCTTGGCCTTGCTCTTTCACCCCAAATAAATCCAAAACTCAGAAGCTTATGCAACGAGCATGTAAGAGTTGACAGGTCTACAGGCAACCTGCTTGAAGTGCTCAAAGCTGGTGAGCTTAACCTCTTCTCCTCTCCTACCCACAAGCATTTTCTATACTGTCTTCTGATTCAACATTCACTCCTGATTAATTACCCTTAAAAGAGATATTTAAAACAAATGCTTTAACTGAAAGAACTTTCTTTTAAGATGACTGCTAGTAACAGAGACGGGCTTAAAAATACATCAGAAAATTAGGTACATTTCTCACTAGGACTTCCAGCCTTGTGTGTCTAGCTCCAGAGTGCACGATCCCCAATTATTTTTATTGCTTGTACAACCAGCACAACCCTGGCCACAACGGTATCAAAATAAATAAATTAGTACAAGAAAAAAGTCTGACACTCAGGATTCATTGCACAAACATTTAAACAGAGGAAATAATTTCTTTTACAAATGTGTTTCTCTTGTATAAGAATAATTTTGTACAGAAAATAGCTCTTTATACATTTTACAGAAATACGCTAACATTTAGATTCTCTATTAATGGATAATGATTGAATGCAATTTAAGATTTCAGTTACGTTTGAGAGTCACCAAATATGAATAACACAGTAATACATCACTTCTCCAATATCTTTAAACTGCTCAACTTATCAAGTATTGAGTCAAGACAGTGAAAACATTCCTAGAACCATGTTAATTTGCACACACTCAAGTATCTTGAAACTGTTAGTTATGAAATACCTCCTGAAAGTAATACCATAATTTAAGTGTCAAGGAATATGAACTTAAACCTTAACAAGGCAGCATTACTTGCTCTCTTAGATTATCCTGTTGGCTAATACTGTAAAAACCAAACTGAACAGAACCTTTTATATTAAACTGGTTTACTGTTAACATGACCTTCAAAATGAGATAGCAGAAGCTACTCTAGTAAATGCTATACAGCATTAATACAACATATAAATGTAATAAAAATACTTTCATTTTCTTAAGAAAACACCATGGAATGTAGCAGGGAAAAAAATCAGTAAATTAAGATATAAAAAGTAAATCTGTGAAGGACAAGAAGAAACTGAAAAACACATGTATATATATTTCTACGTAAAATGTAAGGGTATGCTAGGAAGTACATATATGTGAAATTACTCAATTTCTTCAAAGACTGTGTTAAAGCCCATACAGTATCATGCGGACCTCAAACACAGACCACATTCAGACACTCCTCCTGACAATTGCTGTTTCAAGCACCTGTACTTATATGCAAATTTCCTTTGAAATTAGTGGGAAGGTAAGAACATTTATCCTTGAAACACAACTACATGCAGTAAACTTTTCTTGCTTTCTAGGTGTTTTATAAGTTTACATAGAAGATGTAAGCAAACAAGTATTATATAACCCAATGACAGAAAAACTGAAATTTAGATTGTATGTGATCTCTTTAGTATTCATAAACAGCTACTTAAAACTTTGCCAGCTGTACCCTATATGACTATTGTTGACGCTTCCATGCTTCAAGATTCCAATGTGTGGCTATGTTTAGTCAAACATGGCCCTCGCTCTGAGTTAGCCAGTCTCTTAACACATACAACTTTCAAATAAATTCAGCTGGAACTCGTACACCTCTCCTTCTCACAGCACAGAGGTTGATATGAGACAGTAATGAATCACATTATACTGGTTCACATTTCCATGTAGTTAGAAGGAGAAACAAGCCCCCTGCAAAACCTTATTCCAGTGATTTTGCAAATTCTGCATAGTCAATGTATCCGTCATTGTTCTTGTCATCATCTCTTAAGACATCATCTATTAGACTGATCAGCTCTTCTTCTTTCATTGCCTGGGTATGCTCACCACCTTCCTACAAAAACAAAACCACATTGAACAGTTTAGGGGTGTTTCCCATCTAGTGGCACGTATGACAGATTACTGACAACTTATTTTTTTGTTAAGCTATTCATGTCTGGTGCCTAATTTGGCACAAAGTTTTATGTAATCGTTTATACCAATATAAGCAACTTCTACCAGGTGTCAGTTGTGAAGTCCAAGTTCTCTGGACTTCCGAACAAGCACTCTGTATCCAGTTAATATTCTTAGCCAAAAGTTCTAAAACCTGAATAGCACAGTGTATGATGATGGAAAAAAAATTAACAGATTCTTAATATTCATATTCTTAATTTGGATCTTGATGTAGTATAGACACTATAGTTTCTATACAGTACAGAAACATCTTCCTGTGTGTCAGAACTTGCAAAATGCAGAGTTTGACAGTAACAGAGTAGTGAAAAAATGCAGCACTGCAGCTTATAGTCAGTAAAATTCTTAGTATCACCTCTTAGGAGCAAAGGGGAATACAAAGAGGTGTCTTTGCACAAGAAACAGCAAGTCATTATTCTGTTCTCAACTAGGTATTTTTTGCCACAGATGTATGCAGGAATTTATGCTATTTTGAACTGTAATTTCCAAAAGGTCAGTACGAGATAATGTGTTAGTATGGTCTCCTAAGGATTGTATCTTCCTACTTGGTCCTTAAATGTTCCTAGCTGGAAAGAGTATTTGTGTTTAGAAAAAGGTGAAGAAAACAAAGGCAGACTGTGACTGGTTCTTCTAATACTAATTTTGTAGAAGAGGTCTCTTAGAGTTTCTGTATCTGCAGCAGTAACAGTTTGGAGTTGAAAATAGCAGCCACAGTTTGGAGTTGAAAACAGCAGCCTTAGAACCTCGAACAGCATCATATCGCATCCTATTTCTATAAACCCTCATCAGCATTATCCCATTTTGGATACTTTCCCCTTCTCCTCATCCCTGCCTACCAAAGTATCCCCTCTATCAAATCATTTTCACTCTACAGTCCTTTCTCACTCTAAGGCTTAAACTACAATGGAGGCTTCTTGAAAACTGCAATGTGACATGAAAAGCTGTGATAAAGCCAGCACATTTATAAATCAAACCAAAACTATCAGGGGGGGGAAATAATCTCATTTTCAGGCAAAACTGTAACTGCAACGAGGATGTGTTGTAATTGTTCTGTTCTATTGTAAGCTGCTTTTAGAGAGTCAGAACTGTTTCCAAACACACATGCCATTACAAAATTCCACCTACCTCTTTGTGGACATGTGATATGGCAGTAGCAAGTTCTAACCCATCTAGCAAATTATTGCCATCATAATCATGCATTTTGAAGTAATGAAGCTGCAACTCTTGTGGAGACATCTCGGATTCTGGTTTCTCAATAACACCTTCCAAATGTTCCATGATGTGGCTGAGAAAAAATAAAATAAACAAAACCCACAACATATCCATCAGTTAATATTTAATCCTCTGTTTACATCAAATTTAGCCTTTGATCAGTAAGTCAAGTACACAGGAAATATTGTATCTCTAAAACCACCCTGGACAACTGAAAGCTGTAGTTTTATACTAAGATGAAGGGGGCACAATGGTTGGTTGTTACAGGTGCTGTAGTGGCCTCTAATACCTTAGACAGCTATTTCTCTTTCTTCTGGCCTGCTTAGCAGGTTATCAAAACAACTGAAACAGTGCCCAAAATCTCCTTTTGGCTGTCTTCCACAGCATAGGAACTGGAGGAAGATCTTTCCCAGTCAAACATGAGGTATTCTAGGGAGTTTTACTTGCTGCTACCACTGTTTTGTCTGCATGAAGAAGCAAATGAGAAAAAAACCTCTCATTTTACCTGTTCAGAACATGATTTTGTCTATAGTATGTTGATCTAGGTAAGCAGGATTCCTGTAAGAAATTCTTTATACTGTGAGTAGGGCTAAAGGCTCCAGAGAGACCTTTCTAGGCCTAGTATCTCTAGAAACTTATCCAGCGAGCATGTCTCATATCTGATTCCAGCTAGTCATACAACACCCTGAGAAAAGAGAGTGCCCTAGGCTTAAGTCCAACTCACATAACAAGACTTAAAAGATAAGCAAATCATTAAGAAGTAAAGTTTACATTTTTAGAACATGGAACACATACTCTTTATCTTGTACCAAGTTCTTATCAAGGCGAATATTTGCATGTTGACTCTCTCCTACGTGTTCCTCAGCTAGGGCAGAGATGATGAATGCAGCCAGCAAGCAGAACAGCACACGTATTCTAAAAATCCTCATGGGCATCATGATCTCCTACAAAAAGTAAAACACACCCCCCCCAAAAAAAAACAAACAAAAACCCAAAAAACCAGATGAAAAATGCAATCTACTTTCAGGAGATTTACAGAGTGTTTAGAAATAACCCCATTAAGTTAGAATAGAGGAACTTGCTTCATTTCAAGCACTTAGCAAGCACAAAACCAGAAAGCTCCAATTACGGATTTCAACGAGGGTGTCTATTTCAAGGAAGCAGGCAGTAATTTTCAAATAATTATTTTTATTTCACGCAGTGAACGTGCACTCTTTAGCCATGCCTGGGTCTTCACACAGCTTACAGAGATCCAACCACGCCGGCTCCACGCAAACCTGCCCCAGAGTTACGGGAAGAAAGGTCGCTTACGTTATCAAAGGGGCTGCGTCAAATTAGCAGATCTGTTAAGACTGCACGCATAAATAACATACAACTTTACAAATGCAACGGCCATTGCAGCGCTCGCTTCACAGGCAAGCGAAACGCTGAAGCGGTTCA